TGTAAACTTAATGCTTTATTTTGGTTTTATCTTCAAAATTAATCCACGGCTTATGGAGACAATCACACTGAAAGTAAGGTAGGATTGTTTGAAAAATAATCATGAATGATGTTATCCCCTTCAAAGCCTATCAAAAATCCTCCACTTCTAACTTAACTACCATTTAATTTATCAATGTGCATTCTCATTATTTTACATTCCCTCGTCAGGCATTTATGGCCTTTGTTTTCAGTATAAATATTCCTTTATTCAGTATAAATATTCCAAACTTTGCCACTGCTTCTTTTGATTTGTTTACTTATTATGTGCTTTGGTTAGGCAATTAATGATCACGGCTGCCTGTGTGTTGTGAGGTGGCAAGTATGTAGGGTACAGCGCTTCGTATCTGCAAAGAAAGGCGTTTTACAAATGTATCGATTGGATTGGATTGGATTCCTATAATCATGTTTCTTAAACTAAGCTACAATTCATTCACATAGGACTAGGTCTCAGTGACCTAACATAATGGTACATCATGCACACCGATTCCCAGTAGGCCTAATAGTAACTCCCACCTCAATTTTCACCTCCCACTTGCTTACATAATTAATCCATATTGCCTTGTAGGACTATCCCATTCCAATCCATATTCCATCACCATTAAATTTATTTTTCAAGGCCTATTCATAGGCTATTTCGGTCTTTCTAGCTTAAATATGGACTACTCTGTAACATTCCATCCTGTTTAACTAGGTTCAAAAAGAAAGTTTCCTTTTCGACCTAAATGTCTAACCGCACTCGTCACCTTTAATGTCTTGATCAATACTTAATTTTTAAAATTAATAATATGCCTTAAGAGCACTCGCTAGTATTCGGTCAACATAGATGGCATTTTTACTGTGACTGTTTCCCTTCAGGTTCCCTGTCTGCTCCTGTTAGAGGCCTACTGTATCTGCATCTGCCCATGTGTATATATTAAACCAAACGAAAAATGTTATTAAAGTTAAATTTTGTTTAAACAGTAAAGGAAAGGATTTTGTATTTTATTTTACAATTAATGTAAAGAAGGGAAAAGTTTTACATTTACTTTTGTTTAAACTTTTTAAAGTTATTCAGAAGAATGAAATAGATAAACAGATTTTCAAAACTCTTACAATTACGATGTTATGCTCTTGTTTTCGCTCATATGCTTGAGACCAATTGTATTAAGGAGAATCTTCCAGATCATACTTAGGCCTATTTATAATAATTTGTATGATTTTTTGGGGTTTTAATAAATGTTTTGTGATTGTGTGAGATTCTGTAGGCTGGCCCTTATCATCAGCTTTGCTAGATATTACTTGTTTAACTGTTCAAGAAATATAAATTCTAGAAGCCTCTATTATGACAATTGAAGTAAAAGCGAAACGTTAACCGTTTCATAATTTGATCATGAATCAGAATGATAGTCTGCTGTAACTAATTTTGCCGACATAACTCACAGCCCTACCCTCTTTTTACACACCAATGATTTGTACCGATCCGGTATTCGTGTTTTGTTTACTGTAGAATGAGTATTGAAAAACACCATCCCACGCCAGCAACGACAATGGGTAATTTTTAAGGTGATCGATGGTTATTGGAAAATGTTTAAACAGACCATAACAAAGGTGAAGTAACAAATAGCAGTATAACAACATGGATGTTGATACTGCAGGTTAAATGTTAAGCTCCAACGACAATTTAACTTTTCAATATACTGTATGTAGTTGACTTGCCATTGCAATGACGAAATTAGAGGGAACATAAGGATAGATACCCAGGCTGCAAGCAAATTATATCTAACAACGTGTGAAATTACTTAGATAATATCAAAATGGCTAAAACTCTCCTTCTAAACACCAACCTTCCCACCCCTCTCATCATGGCCTTCATCGTGTCCCCCGGCAAAATGAAGGTAATTCAATGAAATCATCCTAGATCCTCCCCGGCGTTTGTATTAAATTTTCCTTATTATTAAAGATGTACAATACAGTCATATGCTAACAAATTAAAATATTACCCCAGGCTGCAAGCAAAGGATATCAAACGTAGTGTGAAATCATTTAGATTTTATTAAAATGGCTAAAACTCTCACCTATAGCCCAACCCCCCCCCCTCTCCCTACTCCGCTGAATATTTATTGAATTTTCTTTATTACTAGTACTTATGGCAGTACTGTCATGTGCTAAAAAATAAAAATTCAATCAAAATTATTAACTTACATATTACATTTGAATGAAAAAAAATTACCGGTCAATTAAAGGACGGTTAAATAATACTTTTCTGTATTCCTATTGTAAAATATATACTGCCATGAGCTAAAAAATAAAAATTTAATTGCCTTATTTGTATACCGGTATTTAAGTAAGTTATTAAATTAGGCCTAAAATTAAAAAGTTCAATTAACGGACAGTTAAATAATACGTTTCCTGTATTCCTTTACAGACATCCCTTTAATTAGTTGGTAATAAATCTAAGGATTTTTGTAGTAAAAATTCTGTAAATCATACGAAAACGTTTTGATTGTTTTCTGGTTTTGATGTTTTGCAGGTTTCAAGATTTGTTCAGAAGGCAGTGCATATTTATGACTATAGTACTAGTGATGCTACGTTCATGATGTAGGTATGGATAGATACCTCTATGGTTTAGTCCGTCTCCTCTACCCAATTTGGTCCTACGTGGCCTCATGGTAGTAAGGTCCAAAGAGGTTTAGGGAGTTGGGCCAGTAAATTACATCATAATATTGGTGATTTCATATTCATTGTGGAGTTAAGTTCCTGATTCTGTTGAAAGTTAGCCGATAGATTAGCAGTTATATGTATTATCACCATTATGATAGGATTGGAATTAGATCATGTTCTGACTGACACTGATAGCA